TAATAAAATGTTATTTACTCCTTCTCATAACATAAGAACTAGGGGTCACCACTGAAATTAATAGGCAGCAGGTTTAAAACAAACAAAAGGAAGTATTTCTTCATACAACACAGTCAACCCGTGGAACTCCTTGCCAGAGGATGTTGTGAAGGCCAAGACTATAACAGGGTTCAAAAAAGTACTAGATAAATTCATGGAGGATAGCTCCATCAGTGGCTAGGGATGGTGTCCCTAGTCTCTTTGCCAAAAACTGGGAATGGGTGACAGGGGATGGATCACTTGATGATTACCTGTTCTGTTCATTCCTGCTGAAGCACCTGGAATTGGCCACTGTCGGAAGACAGGATACTGGGCTAAATGGACCTTTGGTCTGACCCAGTATGGCCATTCTTATGAGAGAGGATGTAACACAATAACTACAAAACTCCAGGCAAGTCTGGCATTGAAAGAATGTAGCCGATAACAGAAAATCCTTTAATAGCTGAATCACTTCTTTTAAACACTGTGTCTGTTTCTTAATTGCAGGAATGAATAGCTTCCAAACTGTCCACATCCAAGTGATTCTTTTGGCCTCTCACCTCTATGAGACTTGAATTGCAAGTCTGAGGGAAGTTCTAGATCAGTAATTTTCCTCAAAACACCCTTCTCACTTCCTAAGCATTTTTGGAACACAAGAGTCTCTCTACCTCTGCAGAGGTTTCTGATTAAATGTTAACTGTAGTGTCATTAATGTTTTGCAGTTAAACAGTACAAAGAGAAACATCATCCTTTAACTGCTTTTTAAAAAACTCAGTCAAATTATATTGGTTGAGGGGTTGTTACGCCTTTCGATGATATCCTTCAGGCAGTGGGCAAAAGCTAAAATGATGCTCTTTTACTGTGACTAAACTAACTTGTCTGTGGGAAGGTAGGATTCCACGTACTTGCCTATTCTCTGTGGTGGAGGTGGAGAAATCAATCAGCAATACTTACACGGATGGATCTGGTAAAAACCTGCCACTCCCAAGGTTTTGTATGTTAACAAAGTTAGTTGTTGTGAGGTTTCTTTGTTGTTGGGGTTTTTTTTTTGTCTGATTACTGCTGGGGTAGATTTGACCACTAATCAAAATTTTAAAAATCAATATTTTAAAATAGCCAACCAAAAATAAAAATGATTCTTAGAACTTCATATCAATAGAGATTAAGATAAATTAAGCCTCAATCCTGCAAATTTAACTTAGTGTGTCTGACTAGTTCCACTGATTGAAGTAAGATAACTTTCCATAAGCACATGAGTTAAGCAGGACTGGGGGCAAAAACTACAACTACATACACAAAAAAAATCATATTCCAAAAAGGGGGAACAGAGACAATACACTGACATTATTGCGAATCAATAAGATGCTTTAGTACTTGCCCATTGACACAAAGTCCAATTAATTTAGGCACTTGCTTTCTTATTTTAATGACTATTCATTATTTAGGTAGCTCTGTAAATCTACACAATGCTTTCAATCATTTAAAACACAAAGTCTCTGTCCCAAGGATCTGACAACGTAATTCAGACAGATGAATATGAAACACAAAATAAAGATTAAACACAATACAGTTAAGGAAGAATGATAGAATGGAAGTCTGTACTGGAGATTTCTTGCTAGAAGTGATTTTGAAGGAGAGATTTAAAGAGGTGGAGGAGAGAACTTATAGTGGACAAGAAGTTGAAGGCTGTTCCTCATATTGCACTATGGGATGGTGCTTAACTGCACTGTAGTTGAGGTTGAAAGAGCATTTATGTTAAAAGCTAAATTTTCAAACTGCTTTAAAATCTACAGACCTAATCAGATTGGCCTGAAAAATGGTATGCCAGTTCAGAGTGTGGGGTACAGTTTGTGGTGCAAATTTGGGGCGAGAAGAGCTGATTGTGGGGCAGAGGATTTGTGGTGGAGAGAAGGTTGAATTTGATGTGGAAAAAAGAAAGGGAGCCAGAGACGAGAGAGAATGAAGGAGATGGGAGCATGGAGGCAGAGAACTGGTCAGAGCAGCAGGAGAGGAAGATGATTCTAATAGCAGCATTTTGCCTAGACTAGGAGGGAGAGGTGAGAAGAGAACGAAGAGGCTCCATAGGCATGGTGAGAGATGACAAAGATGTTGTTAGTAATAGGGGTTGAAAGGAAAGGATGGATTTTAACAAAGATGAGCTACAGTTGATATGTGCTTGGCAGAGATGGGGATAGGAATGACGGTGGCTTTATACCACCTTTACATCCCTTATATGCCACCTATGCTATGGCCGAAGGATGGGCTGGGTGTAGAGATATGCCAGCTCTCTACTGGCTGGAGATTCTCCTTTGCTGGGAGATTCTCTGACCACCCATTTAGTTTGGCTGTCTTCCCGGTGCTGGAGCACAAAGTGCGGGCCAGGATCTGGCCCAGTATATTAGAAGAATCAGTGAATCATTCACTAATGCGGTAGGTGTATCTTGTCTTGCTTTTTTGTACATATGTGCAGGAAAGAGACCAATGAGAACCTCTGCTGCTTCCCCAGAAGCAGATATTCAGGCATGGGCAGCCTGCTGACATCACTGAGGGAGAAAGGAGTCATTTTCTGGTAGAGGTCCAAGGGCCTTTCAGGGGAATAGGAATCAAACCCCCAAACACTTGCCCAGGGCGAGTGGTGAGACTAGACTACTGATTCTCAACCTATTTACCATTGTGGGCCGCATCCAATACTACCCGTATAGCCTCAAGGATGTCACATGGGCCGCTGAGCTGTGCTGATTGGGCCGCAGGTTGAGAACCACTGGACTAGACCAAGAAGCAAAGCAGCCAGAACTGCTAGTTGTTCCCCAGAGGGAAAGGGTTAACCCTAGGAACAATGAAAGGGAGGAGAGGAGGAAAGATCAAGTGGTGGGTTGCATGTTGGTTATTGGGAGTCATTTTTCCCTTTCCTCATTCCCAGCAACCAGGAAGAAAAGAAGGGTGGAGTTTCTGCATTTTGTCAGACTGGAGGGATTATGTGCTGTGTTTCCTACCAGGTGTTGCCCCTCTCCCGCCCCACCTGCAGGAGAATACTTCACTTTTAGTATTGGCTTCTGGCTAATAAGTCTACTCCTCTAGCTAACAGGAGTCTGGTAAATATGTCAAGGCATGATCATCTCGGAGTGGTGAGTCAGCATAGTTCAGTAAATTGACCTTGGGGCAGGGAGGCTGGAACTCCCATCCCACTTCTGCCTCTGACTTGCTCTGTGACCTTGGGCAAATCACTTCGCCCTTCCTGTCTCCGTTTTCCCAGCTGTAAAATGGCAGTAGTCATATTTATCTACCTCACAGCTGTTTTGTGAAGATTAATTGGTTGAAGTCTGTAGTGCACTTTGAAAAATACAAGGGAACTCTATGTGTGAAGCACTGTTATAATCTTTAGCACTGCAGTGATAACACCATCCTGGATGATGGCATTGAGAGAACCCACCCAGACTTGATGCAGAATTATGTGAGCCTTTGCAGTAGTTCAGAATGCTGTTTTATTATTGTTGGTATATCACAAAGAGTCTTGAGCAGTCTCTGCACAAAGTGTGCACAAAAGGAAGTGTAGAGTGTTGCTAACCTTGTAAAACAAGCTGTCTGCACATTTTTGAATGATATACATAACTCTACTTTAAAACCTCATCTAAACATTTCTTTGGAGTTGATCCCTAAAGTTGTACAAATGCCTTGTTTATACAATGCTTAATAGCAAATTTGCTTTAGTAACCTCTAATTAACACTGTGAAAGCCACTGGTTTGTGTATTATATCAAGGTGCATGGGGGGGTGAATGGAAGAGGCAGTGGTAAGAGTGGTCTCAGAAGTATTCTTACATTAATTTACACCACATTCTGTGCTAACAAATTGTCTTCAGTGGGGTTACCCCATTCCCCTCCCTCGTGTGTAAGTCAGGGCAGAATCTGTCCCTTTTTATTTACGTGAACTGTTTAGTTTCCAAAATGCTAAAACATTACATTGAGGTGCATATGCAAGGAAATGGGGAGGGGGCAGTGAACGCTGAGAGCTTTCATGTGGCTACTGTTGCTATGATACTAGGTTCAAGCATTTCTTTCTTTCCTTCTTCTTTTTCCCCCTCCTTGCTCTCACTGAGTTGGAGAAAAGCAACACTGATGAGGGTCTGAATGGTTCGGGCTTCATAGGGAACCACTTTGTTTATGGGTCAGAGACTTGCTAGTGGGGGTATATGAATACCCAAGTGTCATTTCTCATTTCCGTAGCAAGCCAGATTTTTTTACGTAAACGGGGGATGTATTCATGTCAGAGGAGAGTCATTCACTTTTTATGTACCCTAATTTCTCTCCGCACCCATTCCTCAGCAAGTTGTACCCCAACATGTTGACTTGTAGCCATCTACAATTCATCAGGCACTTTAAGCTGCAAGTTTTTCAGAGGGTTGTTTTGGTTACAGGTTCTTAAGTGCTGCTCATCTCCTGCTGATATTGCACAAAACCTGCCAAAAGCCTTCTTTTGTAGATAGAAACGAATCTGGATTAGTTTCCAGACATCCAGTAAAGAAATTATACAGCACGTAGGCTCCAAAAAGCAGGTTTTGTTTCCAGGGCTGTTTCTCTACAGACATTTGTCTGCTTTTATCCACATATGATTTGTTTTGCTGAAAAAATCAAATGCACATTTCCAATGAGCACATTGAATGGTCAGAAAAAAAAAAGTGTTTTATTTTATACAGGGCTTCTAATTGGGCATCATAACTAATAGCCGCCCTTTTCTACTGTTCAGTATTTAAAAAGAGATAAGTAGGTCTAGTGATTTCCATTTCATTTAGCGTTTCTTTTAAATTATCCTGGTATATGTTAATGAAGACATTGATCTTCCGTATCTGCTATTCAAATCAATACAGTCATCTGCTGATAATTTAATTGGTTATGATAATGAATAAGCTAATATTGCAACCCTCCCTCCCCCCACTGTTCAATTATCTCCAACATCCAATGTATTTATCTCCTCTTCTCTCTTTAGCACTGCAGTGATAACACCCATCACTGTCAGTCAGATATGAACATAGTAGGTGCTTGGAAGAGAGGCTACACCGGAAAGAATGTCGTGATCACCATCCTGGATGATGGCATTGAGAGAACCCACCCAGACTTGATGCAGAATTATGTGAGTCTTTGCAGTAGTTCAGAATGCTGTTTTATTATTCAGAATTAAGATTGCTGCTTGTAGAAAGATGACTGTGTTGTTCTGGTTGATGGAGAAAGAAAGAAAGAAAGAAAGAAAGAAAGAAAGAAAGAAAGAAAGAAAGAAAGAAAGAAAGAAAGAAAGAAAGAAAGAGAAAGAAAGAAAGAGAAAGAAAGAATAGATTTTCTATAACAGCAACAATAATAGGAAGTAAATTACAAAAAGTTATATTTTTCATATGGAAATAATCTGTAGGATAATATCTTGTATAATGTCAGTTTAATATCTGATATGTCTTCATAAGGAATCTATATCCTTATGGAATATAAGGAGGGGGTTGAATTCAATGATCTCATAATTTTTCACCCCATATCTAAATACTTTGACCTGTGGTCTTCCCACCACCATCACTCTCAGAGCTTTTGAATATGCTACACATCTGCTAATTTCAAGAGTATATAGCTAAAGGGAGAGTATAAATCCTGGTAGGCCAAAAATATTTATCTAGAGAGATAACAGCCCGTTCCTGAAGGTCTTAACTTAATTATATCCTCTTGAGTATTTATTTAAGTTCAAGCTATCCATTCTATGGCTAGAAAAAATGTAAAGAAAAAAAAGATGTGTGACTTGCACTCATCTGCAACACTTTGGCGTCTTGCCAGTATAGCTCCGTTGATTCCAATGACGTTACCCACAACTGTAAATGAGAGGAGAACCATGCCCTTTGTTTATTGTAAGTTTCCTATGGCCTTATAGGTTTTCTGTCTGCTTGTGTTTTGTCACATTTAAACAATTGGTTTAAAATAAATAGGAATATTTGCTTAATGTACAGAGAGGCTTCTCTCTTGGTAGGTAAACTTTTTGTCTTATCAAAGCTGACATTGTCCTTTCAAGCTATTTAGAATCTCAGGGCAGTTCATTGCTAGGGTGATTATTCTAGGCCACAGGTATAGTCATGATGCAGAAGTGCACAACCTTGGGTGTCTTGTTGTTTTTTATTAAATGGAATGTGTATGCTGTACATGAATAGCAGTGAAGAAAACAGATGTGTGCATTGGGGATGAAATTCTCTTGTGCAGAGGGCCAGCACAAAGGGTTCTAGCTGTAGAGGTGAATTTCATCCTGACAGAGCATTCAAGACAGAGGGCATGGCTACCCTTGCAGATGTAGAGTACTGTGAGTTAAACCCGCCTTCGTAGAGCGCAGTAGGGAAAGTGCTGCAGTCTGTCCACACTGACAGCTTCAAGTGCACTGGCATGGCTACATTTGCAGCACTTGCAGCGGCATTGGGAGCAGTGCATTGTGGGCAGCTATCCCCCCAGCATGCAAGTGACTGCAACGTACTTTTCAAATGGGGTGGGGTGGAGTGGAATGTGACAGGAAGAGTGTTCTATGTATGTGGGGGGGAGAGAGAGTGGATTTTGGGGATGCTGAGAGTGTGTCAGCATGCTGTCTTGTAAGTTCAGACCCCCCGCCACTCACTCACTCACTCACTCACTCACTCACTCACTCACTCACTCACTCAAAGCAAACAGTAAATGTTTGCTTATTCTCGGAGCTGATAAGCAGCCGGCTTCTCCGAAACGGAGCTTTGAAAGGGCATTTCCGCATTCCTGCAGCCGATTTCACAACAATAACAAGAGTGGCCGCTTGACTTAAGGGGATTATGGGACGTTTCCGGAGACTGATCACAGCGCAGTAATGCAACAAACTCGTTCACACTGGCGCCGCAGCGCTCCAGCGGGGGCGCAGCAAATGTTATTCCATTCGCCGAGGTGGAGTACCAGCAGCGCTGTAGCTGCGGAGTCAGAGCACTCTACGTGCCTTGCCAGTGTGGACGGGGAGCGAGCTAGGGCGCCTGGGGCTGCTTTATTGCGCTGTAACTCACAAGTGTAGCCAAGGCCATAGAGATGACGCTGTCATTAACATCCAGTCCAAAAAGTTAGAGATGGGTCCGCAGTTCTTAAGCCACTGATTTTGAATTAGCCACACTTATGGCCATATCCTGCCATCCATTCTGTATATGAACTCCCTTTTGAAAACAGGAAGTTCTGCCTAAAAATCAATGACAGGATATAGCTTTATTTGTCAATTTAAGATTCGTTTGATCTTCACATATACTACATCTTTCATGTTAATTCCCATATCAGAGGTTATTTAAACAAGTCAGGTACAACTTTCCTCCCTCACAGAACAGCTGAGATTGTATCAGATGCCACTAACTTTATCCCAGTCCTATCCTTCCAGTGAATGTAAATGCAGCTATTTACTCCCTTCCCCACCTTCTCCCCCTGCCAGTGAGGAATTCCCCCAGGGCAATTCACTGGTTTGATGACAAATGCCTTCTATGTGGCTACAAACAGGAAAATTTGAGGTGGATGTGGTAACTGGTTTTGAACAAAGAAGAGATTAAAAGGAACCGCTTGCCATGTCAACACACCACATGCTACCACATCAGTTAACAGAAGCCACAGAAACAAGCAATTGTTTGCACTATAAACTATTTTCAACAGGAAGAATCTTGGTAAATGCGGAAAATACGACAAAAACACACATTTCACATACATTACAAATAGTTATGCTCCCTGAAAAGATAAGGCAGTTTAAAATGGTATCTTCTTTTCCAGAGTGTATCGTTTGTGTTATGTATTTGAACGCTATGTGGGAATATTTTCTTAGAGGAATATAAAGGATCTCTGCTTCCTAACATTTTGGGAATTTTTCTTTTCTTAGACTATATCCAATTGTTATTGAACCTAGATAAATTTAATGCAAACCTAGTCTCTTTTTCAGGTGTTATATAGAGAGGTCTCAGAGGAGGAGTATAGGGTTTTATGTAATAAATTTACATATGTGACAAACAGCTCTTCCTATTTTATAATGGTTGTTGGAAAAATACTTTTGTCTAATGTATTTGTTATCCTCCACTCTTTCCAAAACAAAATTTTAAAAATGTAAATCCTGTAATTATTGAACATATAATCCTTTCCTAAAACATCACAAAACCTCAGGAATGTTAGTTAACCCAATTACTCTCTTGTAGAAACCTGCTGAAGAATGTATGTGGGCCACATGAGTCAATGTCTAATTAATGAGAAACTGGTTCTCTCTCTCTCTCTCTCTCTCTCTCTCTTTTCTGTTGGTTACAGGATTCGAACGCCAGCTATGATGTCAATAGCAACGATATTGACCCCATGCCTCGGTATGATGCCAGCAACGAAAACAAGTAAGGCCTGTTCACTATGGCATGTTTGACATTTTAAATGCAGTGCCTCAAGCAGAACATACCAAGTCTGCCAATGTAGTAGGGATGCACCTGAATATCTTCATAAAGCATTGAGATTTGCATTTAGCTCTGTGTTATGTATATATAATATAGTGTGTCTCCTCACACACTGTACAGCACTCACTCTGTGAGTAGATGGGTGCACTTATCTGAGAATTTATAAGTAAATCCATTAATTAGAGTTCTAAGCATTTAAAAATGAATCCATTTTGAATTTGTTTTTTGACAAGTCTAACCTTTTTTCAGATGCTGTTTCTAAGCAAATTGTTGGAGTCTGGTACTGTGTTTTGTGTGGACTTTGCCTTAGCTTATGATTCCCTTGCACTTTTAGTTTTTGTGGTGTTGTGAGGAAATACACTTGAGCAACTTCAATTCAAAGTTAATGGAGTTTTGTGTGTGTGTGTGTGTGTGTGTGTGTGTGTGTGTGTGTGTGTGTGTGTGTGTGTGTGTGTGTGTGTGTGTTTATTA